TGCCTCAGCTGGCACGGGTCAAGTCCCCCAAACCTTCTCATCGCCTGTGCAAATGGGACACACTGGCAGGTCCTTTCTCCTCTCTGAGTGTCCACTGCCTCATCTGGAAGATAGGGACAGTGACCCCTGCTCAGGGGTGGAGTTGGTATCCTGGCCAGGAGAACGCAACCCACTTCTGGCAGCTCCCAGCTCCCCCACAACCTAGGCCTGTGTGGGGAGCTCCTTGGGCACCAGCAGCTGAGTGCTCACACTGCTGGGCAGCGGGAAAGGACCGCCCTGTCCCCGTCTTACAGATGTGCAAACTGAGGCCCTTCCTCCTCCATCACAGCCCCATCCCCAACCTCTTGGCACACACCCAGGGACACCAGCTGGACCCTCTCTTTCTCTTCTTTTGTTTTGTGCCCTGTGGGGCCCAATTAAACTTAATTTTGTGGCTTCACTCAGAGCTGGCACCAGGTGATTTCTCAGAGTGTCCCATGGGTGGGCTGGGGTACAGTACAGGAGTTGGGAGAACCCTGGGATGGGCTCTGGGACTGGGTCCCCACCCCCTCCTCTCCTGTGCAGAGATAAGGGCAGCTGCAGCCCTGGGGTGTGGGAGTGTCCAGGCGCCACACACGGGGTGCACAGCCTGGTGTGTGCAGTGTGTCTGCTCTGGGTGGGGGTGTCGGGTGACCACCCAGCAGAGCGAGCAGCAGCAGGGGCTGTGGAGCTAGGCTGCCTGAGTTCAAATCCCAGTCCCGCCAGTCACAGATGTGTGACCTAGGCACATCGCTTATCTCTCTGGACCTCAATTGCCCCATCCATAAAATGGGATAATAGCAGACGGTCACCTCATCACAGGGCTATTGGAAGGATTGAGGGAGTTTATTCTGTAAGGTGCTTAAGCCAGTGCCTGGAATGAGTTAAGGTGATGTGAATGTTGGTGGTTATTTTATTAGGATAATGCGACAGTCTGGGCATGTGAGTATAATGGCAGGCGGGTGTCCAGGCAAGGTGTACTCGGGGTGTGTGGAGATGAGCAGGGGATGTGTCTGAGCCAGCTCTCCTGGGGTCTCCTGGCCCTGCCCCAACGGTGTCAGCCACTTGGCACCCAGCTGCCTGCCATCTCCCAGAGCTGTCCGCACTGCAGGTGACCTTGGCCCATTCAGGGAACTGTGTAGAAGTGGATCTCACTGAGATCTGTGTTTCAAGGATTTAATGTTTCCTGCGGAAGTGGACAGGCCTGCGGCCAGGCCTTTGGGGCTGACCTAGAGGATGAGGTGGGAAAAGGAAGGAGGAATTAGAGCTATCAGAGAATGGGGCGGGAGCCCCCCAGCAGCGACCAGAACAGGACCAGGACCAGTGACTTCTGTGCAGGTGCCAAGGGGAGCAGTCTCCCCAGCTCAGAGATGAGGGACAGGCCTGGGGCACCACCCCTGGGCCGGAGCACAGATTGGCCGGGCATTCAGGGTCTCAGCAGCCTGGCCCCTCCTGCCTGCCCCCTCCCTGTCCACACACCTCAGAGTTCCAGACAGGACCCTCCCCAGCCTGTCCTACCCCTTTCCCCACATGACCCTCAGTACTCCTGGCTCTGACCCCAGGCCCTGTCCTGGGTTTATGTTAATCTAAGCTAAGCCCTGGAGACTGTAAGGAGGAGGCTTCCTGGGGCTCCAGCTAAGAAAGACATCTCCCCTTCCCATCTGACCTGGGGAAGCTGGAGAAAGCATATGGCCCTGGAGCCTGGGGCTGCCTGGTGGGAGGGAGCTGTCCTCAGTTCATACCAATTGACCCTTGGTCCCCTCCCTGGGCCCCTCAACCACATCCAAACAAACCTCCAAGCTCCCACTTAACCCCCAACCCACCCCGATCAGCAGAAAACCTGGGGTCTCTCTTGGGGAGACTGAGGCACGAGAGCAGTAGGGCTGACCTCAGAGTCTCTCTAGCAGGTCAAGGCTGGATCCTCCCTCCTCCAGGAGACTGCCTTGGGACCACCCTGCCTCCTCCTCAGCCCCCTCCCAGATCCTCCCGTGCAGAGCTCCTGGATCTGCCTCCTTCATTTTAGCCTCTTATTGAGCCCCTGCCAGGTGCCAAGCGGTTTATATTCCTGTCCTCACAGCCACCCTAGCAGGTGCTATTATTATTCCTGCTTTAGAGAAGGAATTGAGGTACACAGAAGGTGAGAGACTTGCCCAAGGTCACACACCTGGACCACTCTGCTTCCTCTAGGACATCGAAGGGGCCTGTCTCTCCCTTCGCACCCCACCCTCCCTCCCGCCCTGGCCATCTGCCTCCTGCTCGCCCTCCTCACCCGCTCCGGGAAGACGCTGTCTATACCCGCGATGTCAGCGTCCCCTTCTTCTCACTGCCAGCCCTGTAGCCTGGCTCATGTCCCTCTCTCCACCTCAACACTTCTCCCTCCCGAGAGGGGCTGCTTCGCGGACCTCTCCTTGCTAAGCGGTCTGGGCCCACCCATCTTGCTTGAGTGTCCAGCTGTGTCCACACGCTGACCACTGGCTGCCTCCACCCAGCAAGGCTGCCTTAGAGACCCCCTGCCCAG